AGAACCCTTTCCCCTACAAGTGAGTATTTCTGCAAAGCCGTTTGGTCTAACTTTCTCTGCAAGTCTCCAAACCCTGATGAATCATCCGTTCGTCTGCCAGTTTAATTAGCAGTCATTGCCTCAAATTCCTCTTCCCCAACCTGGTGCCCTCCAAATGCACAGGAACCACAGTTGCCAAATTTCCTAGCCAGTTGCGTTGGCATTTCCTGGTGAAATCTCATTTGAGATGGGATTCTGAATCGAATCAAAACTAGGCTTTGAATTTAGATTAGATTAGATTAACAGAGTTGGAAGGGACCTTGTAGGTCATCTAGGCCAACCCCGTGCCCAAGCAGGAGACCCTACACCATGCCACCAAATGGCAGTCCAATCTCTTCTTGAAAGCCTCCAATGATGAAGCTCCCACAACTTCCAAGGGCAACTTCTCCTTATTTCTAGGTTGAATCTCTCCTTGGTCAGTTTCCATCCATGATTCCTTGTCTGGCCTTCAGGTGTCTTGGAAAATAGCTTGATCTCCTCCTCTCTGTGGCAGCCCCTCAAAATATTGGAAGACTGTTATCATATCTCCCCTGGTCCTTCTCTTCACTAGACTAGCCATGCCCAGTTCCTGTAACCATTCTTCTTATGTTTCAGCCCCCAGTCCCCCAATCATCCTAGTTGCTCTTCTCTGCACCTTTTCTAGTCTCAACATCTTTTTTGTAGTGACCAAAACTGGATGCAGTATTCTAGGTGTGGTCAATTTGTTGCATGACTACTTGCTGTTCCATGTGGAGTAATTACAAAATAAATGACGCTTTAGTTATCTGTGGAGATTCTTAATCATCCAGGTCCTGGTTGTCCCAAAGCTGATTTTATCAAAGGGCAACCGGAGTTGTTGTTTTTCCTTTGAAAACCTTTTGCTTCTCCTTCAAGAAGCTGCTTCAGTTCTCCTGCACACTGCTTGGAGAGTCCAAGTATGGGTATTATCACAGTCTGCTTGCCCTAGACTGAGAAGTCTTTTCCCTGGCCACGCTTCCTTGCGTGGCCACGTCCTCCAGAAAAAATTCTCAGTCCAGCCTGATCGGATTGTTCTTCTTTGAGCTCCAGGTTTTTTTGAATTATTTTTCCCTAACTTGGACTCTCCAAACTGTCTTTTCCCTTTATTTCTCTTATTTTTTGCCTTATCTTCCTTTCCCTTACTGTAGCAGCCAGGTGTTCTTCAAAGAAAATGTATGAAAATGTATCCCACCTAGGGTGTGGTGGACCTTTAAACCCTCTCTGGGTAACTCAGTAATCCTGCCAGATCCACACTTCGCCTTCACCTCTTTTCCTCTTTTAAGGACTGGAAACAATCTGGAAAGTCCAGGCTTCTGCAGATGTTGGCTTCTTTGACAGTTCTGTTTACACAATCTTCTGCAGTTTGGCCAAAGTTCAAATAAGTGAGCAAGAAAGTCAATAATTCTCCCCCGGGGTTAAATTCTTCTAAAGCAGTGTTGGAACTGATTGGACGCATTTTTATTAGAAAAACAAGAAAAGCTGCATTTGGATGGAGTGACATGTTTGAGGCTTTTCTACAGGGTAGGCTTTAGAGGAGAGATGGAGGCAGACATAAATGTGCTGGCCGGGGAATTCTGGGATTCGAAGTCCACACACCCTAAAAGTTGCCAAGGTTGAAAAACACTAGCTTAGACTATTCTGAAAGAGGGCCACTTTGGCATAGTGGTTAAGGCAGCAGGCTAGAAATCGGGAGACTCTGAGTTCTAGTCCTGCCTGAGGCACAAAGCCAACTGGGGAATCGTATTAGTATTAGTATTAGTATTTGGTTTATTTGTATGCCGCCCTTCTCCAGGGGGGACTCAGGGC